TGTGTGCATTTCTCATGAGAAAGATAGAAATATGGCAAAAATAAGAAATAAATGCAAAGTGCTATATGCAAACATAAAAAGAAAGCAAGCTGTCAGGAGAGTTCGATGTGAGGAAGTACAAACAAAAAAACAATTTGCGTGGCTTTAAAAATATAAAATACATTTAAAGTAGAGTACAATGAATATTGTTGGTCAACTCATGAATTATACAAGCAAATATTGACGAAGCTGGATATGCGATTTGGCAGCGATTGAACCTCTGTTTTTGCTCTCTCAATGCATACATGGGAAGCTTTTAAAATAGATATCGAACTGACTTGTTATTGTTTCAAGGTCAAGAAAGCAAAAAACTCTCAATCGTTCAACCGCCGCTTTATGTTCATTCTCTTCCACGCGGTTTGGCTTAACGTTTTTATTAATTCTTGTCTTTTCTTATGGGATATTGATTATGTGTGTGGCTGTTTATACATTTTAGCTGATTATTAATGGAATTTTTTTAAGACTTTTTGCAAACAACTTGCTGAGTTTTCAGAGCTCAAAAGCCACTAAGTGAACAGCCATTGCAATACCAGCAGCTCAAACAACTTTGCACAAACAATAACACCGACCAAACGAGTAGCTCATGGAAAATATTGCAACGGCTTAAAGTCAATTCCAGTCTTAATTTTTTTTTAATAAAGAAAAAATGCGACACTTGAAATTGAATCAATGGCAAACTATTTGTAACCTTCACAAGTTTTTATATTGTTTATATGAGAATTTTAAGAAAAAAAAATTATTATTATTTCTAGCGAAAAATCAAACCTATTTGATCTTTAGGCATTAGGTATTATACCTGTTGATCTGTCTGGGTTTGAGGTATTGTTAAGGGTAAAGGCAGTTGCTGGGTTGTAAATGTTTTATTGTTGTAACATTAGTAATCTGGTGGAGATTGGTATGAGCCCACTAATGTTGAAACAAATGTGAACGGAGTCTAAGAGGATTATTCTTTCCAACAACCAAGATATGAAGCTGATATCCACACAATAACTATTTGACTAACTCTCTTAGCTTCAAAAATGTGCCTCGTCTACCACGTCACATTTTCCTCAATTACTTGAAAAAGTCAACAAACTACTCGATTTTACGACCACCTGACATTCCACAAAATTCACATTCCTTCCATTAAAAACATTCCCCCAAGACTAGCCAATAAAATACAAATTTAATGTCAATAATTATGCTCAAAAGTCTCAGTACTTAAACAGCTATCGATCTTTATGCTCACTGGCTTTGTACGCCAACATGCGCATTTAATAAATAAAAATCAACTCTACAACTTCTTGCAGAGAAAAAAAAATAAGGCACATTTAAGTTCTGCTTTGAGTGGCATTTAATTTAATTTTATGAATAAGGAAAAAAAAAATAAAAACTTGAAAGATATCATCAAAATTGTATAAATATCATTTCATGATGGAACATTAAATTTTATGCTCATGAGTCGAACTACCAAAAGCCAATTGCAGAATGAAAACTGAATGGCAGAAAGGCACAATTTAATTCTTTTTTGAGCAACATAAGAACGTGTACTGGAAGGAGAAATACATAAAACATTAACAAGTATGTGAATGAAAGAGAACCGAGAAAAAATATGCTTCGAATTTCCTTGAACTCGCTTTTGCTTTAAGTGAAGAAAAAAAAATAAGAAATCTTGAAGAACAAAATCAGTTTATATGTACAGGGAGGAAAAGAAGCAATCACTGAGCAAGAATAAAATTTAATTCTTTCTGCTTTATCGTTTGTTGCTGCTTTTGGTATCTTTTTGAGTATGTGTATCCATCTCAGAATGATTTTCGAGTTTTGAGGAGGTTTGGGGGCTTGTTTTGAACTGTGCCTACATTTTCTCGGATCTGAGTTGATATAGGCAAAGTATTGGTGTAGATAACAACTAAGGACCTTTATGTTTATGGTCTTTAATTAGCCATTTATTCAAAATAACTTTTTGTTTGATGAAAGTGATAACTTGAGTATCCAAATGATGCCAACCTTCACTCTTTAGCTAGCCAATTGTCCAGCGAAAGAACCAGCTTCAAGCAATATCTAATAGTGGCTATGAGTTGCAATTGAGCTGTGCAGCCAGCAAAGAAGCGCTTTGGTCCACCAATATCTACCGAACATGCAACTCATTCATTATTGAATTCCCTCAAAGCATATATTTTACCAATTCACGTTCAGAACAAGCTAAAGAAGCAAAAAATGTGAATAAATAGAGATGCTTTCAGTACGAAATGTTATGCTTAAAGCATTTTTCCTTTCCTTCTTCCTTGCGAGATAATCTTATTTAAGCATCGGCATCTATGGAAACGATATCATTGAAAATTGAAATTGGAATTCAATAAAAGCGTGAAGGGATGAAAATTATCGATGCTAAATTGATTGTAATAAGCTAATCAGAATCATTTTCATCTAATTTTCATAATGGATTGAAAGCTGATGAAAGATTTTGTATACTTAGCATCCAAAAAGATTTCTTAAAGTTTAAGATTTTGAACTTAAGTTTAATGAAACTTCAAGAGCTGAATTGTCCAAAAAAATGAACTTCTATGACACAACTTAATCTTAAAACTACTAATTAATTACCTTCAAAGTCTATTTAAGCTACAACAAAGTATTTCTTGAGTTGTTGACTGAACGATTCAAGCTCCAGCGCCTCAGCAACCAAAAATATTCCCAATCGATTCAATTTATTCTCCTCAAGGGTACGAAAGGTTGAAAATCAAAATTGTTTGTTCCAAACGCTGCTAAATTCACAGTCAAAAATAATAAACATTTTCTAATTAGCATCTTATCTAATTAAAATTAATAGATTCCAACTGGATACAAACTGTGTTCCTAGAATTTCGGCACTTGCAATCACATTAATTTACGCAAATTGAATTTGAATCGCAATTGACTTTTGTTCCTTAGTTCTGTGTTCCCATTATTTATTCTACTGTATCTAATCCACTGAACTATAAAGCTTTAAAACTATTTCAATTGTCCAAACTCATTGCAAGGCATTAAGATTTTTTATATGCTTTTAAAAATAAGAACTGACTTAATAAAATCACATTCTAATTTAGGTAAGTTCTAAATTGATTTTTTGCTTTGTCATTTGAGCAACAGTATCTTGAGTTACGTCAATTCAAATGTCAAAGCATGTGAAAAAATGTTAAATGAAATATATTTTGAGATTGTTGAGTCTGTGAGATTTTTTTTGAGTTTGCAGGTCTGTTTTGAGAATTTTTAAAATTAAGAGCAAAAGGTTTTTGGAGTAGGCTTGAGGAAATGAGTAGGGAGAAGTATTCTAGAGGGACTGAACGCCATTGAACTGGGTCATTGCTGGATCTCTTGACTTCAAGAACAATTGAATAGTTTTTGATTTTTTTCTCCAGATTCTGATCCAGTTCTTAGCTTAATTCCATTCATTTTAAAATTCTCTATTGAGATTCAAGCACTTCCGAACCCCTGACTCCTACTTAATCTCCTCATAAAATCTACAATTCAGACTACTTCAATAAATTAATATACTCGGTCTACAAATAGAAAAAGATACAAATTCTACGACATGTGCTTAAATCTAGAATAACAAATGTCTTGTCTACCTCCAAAAAAGTCATTAAACTTAATTCAACAAAACCGGCCTATAGACTGGATTATCTTATCTGATTTCCTTGGATACAATTGAATGAACATACTTTTTTGGCATTTGCGATTATTTTTTAAAATAAAGCAAAATGTGTAACAATAAAGGACCTTGATAGAGACATTTACCTGTGGAAGCCAAAATTAAAAATTAGAATACAAGGTCACAAAATCCATGCGGTCAGTAATCTTTAAGTTGGCATTTTCGCATGCCACACACATACACACACGACGAAAAATAAAAATTCCGAAATTTCTTAGAATGGTTATAAAAAAGACTTAATTTTATTGTTAATGCTTTGCATGCATAAATCGACTTCTCTTGTTCTCAACTGTTGATTGACTTCGAGGGTGTGTACATCAAAGATTGATAAAATAATTAAATTTAACCATTTACAATTGAGTAATTGCACAATCCTTTCTACAAGACACGATATTGATTGAATTTTGATGTCTTTATGCACGAAAGGAAACCTCAACTTGTGAGAATTAAAATGTATTAACATAAAATTTAATTATCTTGTTCCAGTAATAATGACTCATTTAAAAGTTTATTTTTTATTTCTCATTTGTGGTATTTATTGGCTTATAAAAGTTCGTATGGAACAAATAATATGTTTGGTATGAAAATATATTTTTATTGAGTCAATTCTTAAGCTTGAAGGATAATTTTAAGGTTTAATTGAGGAAATTTTTCTGCAGTTTCTTGAAATCATAAATGATGTCAATTATTAATTTGAGTTTTGTCTCCCATCACTTAATGATGGGAGGAGTGTATGGCATTAAAATCAATAGAAAACGTTATGTGGAGGCGATGCTAAGCTTAAGATCACCCAAACTCTTTAAAAATGACTTTTTGCATCCTTGACGTCATTTTTAAACGACCCCAAAACCAATTATATTCATAATTGAAAATTTTATGATTTTCTGATCTGTTTGAATTGATTTTGAGGTTCTTGCTTAGTTATATCTTCTGCACATTCCACATATGACCAGATAAGGGGGGTAAGAATTACAATAATGAACAAGATGAGCAATCAAAGAGGATAATAATGATTCCGACCTTAATATAAAATAAAATTCTCAATATCGCCCAGAAAAGTCACTCATCAACAAAAATTGAAAAACTAAATTCAAATAAAAAAAATTCACACACGTCCACAAAAGAAGAAGACCAAAAAAGTCCATGTGAAATATAAAAAAAAAGTCATTAAGGAAAGAAAAAATAAATTCTTCTTTTTATTCGCGATTCTTATTCTTATGTTCAAAAAGTTCTTTATAAAGAAACCAGAACTGTTGTTTTTCTTTCAATTCTCACACAATACTTCCAATATAAACAGCACAGCATGGCGATTGGGAATAAAAATACCATTCACTTTTTATTTCAAGCGCTCACATATTCTTCTTGATCACACATGCGATGTTTAACAACTAAAGAATTTATGTAAGTAAATATGAATGAGTTTTTAGTTTTGCTTAAATGATAAATCGAGATTTGATTGAAATTTTCATGAGAATTAATTTTTTTAACTCCCTTTATGATTTAATTATTGGATTGCATGCAAAATTAATAAAATAGTATGATATCATTCAGTGGAAGTATGGACGAACATATGCAGACATTCAGTGAAACATGTGAATGACATTTTAATGACAAGTGGTGCTGTTTTGATGATTGGGTGCACTAAAGCGCTTGTGGGGATTTTTTTTTAGGTGCTTTAATCAGAGTTGTAGTTATAGTTTGCTGGTACTCAGCTTTTTGACTAGATTCTGTGTAGATTCCTCTGTCCTAATACAAATTGATTGTTAAAAGCCAACTACAGTCAGCAATTTATACAACAGGTCATCCATAATCACCTTTTATACAGCAATATTCAAAAAAACAAATATTATCCGATCCATAAGATCACCTCAGACAAATATACATCCATCACATCCTTTATCTCACTCAAAAGATCACCAAAAAGCAACAACCGAAAAAGATCTGACATACAGCAGCACTTTACCAGTCTATGGACACAAATTGAAACTCAAACAGTATCCAATTTCCAAGAAATGCTGAAAGACAAAGAGGCTGTGTCCCGTAAGAGCCGTAAACACCTCCAATGCTGTCTTGTTCATGAAGAAATATAAAAAAATCGTATTCATAAAAATAAAGTTTAATGTCCGTTGATGTGTGTAATAAACTGCAATATTCCATAATAAGCAATGTGGGAAGTGGAAGAGATCTCTTTTTTTTTTGTTATGTCGACTGACCTCTCATTTGAGATGTTGATCGTGCGGGTCACAATTTTCTTGAGAAATCCAGAACAGATTGATTATTTCTGTTTCGCTGTTGCCTAATTCTGAGAATTTTGTCTCTTATAAATTTGATTTTATCTTTTATTTTCGTCCATTTGACTTTGTTTTTGTTGCGCTTATTGGTAACGAAGGATTGAATGAGAATGGAAAAAAGACAGACACATTTAGTGACTTCATGCCATGAATATTCAATTGAGGACAATTCAGTTGAATGTGCTTTCAATATTTTATTTTCTTTAGCTTGGAAAGTGGATTGGTTTGGATGTTGGATGGTCAATTTGTCTAGTGAATACTGAGGTTGGTTCAGCATAAACTTTTGGATCGAAAAATTAAGAACCTTTGAATGAAAAATTCAACAACAGCAAAATTGAATGAAAACACTCTGAAGAGTCTACAATTCCACTTCTAAGCTTCTCAAACTTACACTTGAACACTCCTTAATTACATTCTCAGAACCCATACCTTTCATGCTTCTTAAATACCTTTAAAAACATCTCACATCTCAGTGAAGAAGGTTTAAAAGCTCCAGTATCAGTCCGTTGCCATTAAAATCGTTTCCCTTTTTCTGCATCACTAAACGTTCAATGTTGAAAAAAAAAATTCAATGAATGTGAATATTACAAGTTGAGAAATCAAGGCAAAATGAGAAGTCCAAGATTATACAGAGACTTTCCCAACATTCTTGTCTTCATGACATTGGACTGCTTTTTTTTTTGCTACGGTAAAACGATAAGAACAACCCTGAACTTAAGCATAACATGCTTCTTTGGTTGATGAGAAAGAGCATGATAATGATATTTTTCATTATTGTCTGCACTTCTTTTTAGTTGCAGTAACGTGTTAATGGTGGGTAGAATAGTTGAGATGCTTGTATTCCCATACCTTGTATTTCTTACAAAGTAATACTTTTAAAAACCTGTATTTTCCTTATAACTTTAAAGATGATTTTTCCGAATTTTTGCCCACCAGCATCCCAAAAAACCAACAATCGTGCTACTTCCATCAATTTAAATTACAATTTTAACTTAAATTTTAATATTCATACATAAATGGCACTCCACACGCGCATTTACATCATCATTTCGATTTTTATGCTCACAGGCATTCGATAATAAAAAAGAATTCATTTTTTTTTCATTTCCATTCTTCTACTTCTTTTGAACCTTATGTATCCGAGCCTTTACAGAGGATTTCAAATTTTCATTCCTTTCTCACTCGTTTTGAATCTGATTTATCCAAAAATATGTTAAATAAAATTGTATGTGAGGCTTCTCGTGCAGTATATTTGGTGTAAAAATGTCTTTAAGCGGATTTTCTTTTTTAACATTCAGAAGCTTTTATTGTCATATAAACGCATTACTTTGTGTAAATTTCTTCCGATTGAGGGAATGATTTAAATTTTATTTTGTAAGATATATCTAAGTAGATTTACGGGTATCTTAAGATGCTGTGGTATCATGTGGATGTGTGTGGGATATGAGTAAGAGAATGTTTTCAGTGGAAATTGATGTGTGCTTGAAATATATTTAAAGGGTTTTTTTGAGAATTTATTAGAGCGGTTTAAAGGCTTGCTGATTCATAGTGTAGCAGTTGTTGATGGTTTTTTGGTGAAATTGCAAAAATATGGGAATCTTTGGCATGGTGCTGTAATTTATTGAACATTTGACTTTATAGCTTGATAACTATGTTGTGAAGCTTCATAAGGAATCTACCTTTATAAAATAGTTCGAACTATGCTTATGAAGTCACAACCAATAAGGATGCAAGAACCTGAACATTGATCATGAGGACGCTTTAAGAAGTTGAAAGAAAATTCATCAAAATATTAAAAATCTGGAAAAATTCCTGACTCAAAGTGCCTAAGCTTATGTATTCAATCCAAAAAACCCCCATTGTCACACAAAACACTCTCAACTTCCTTTAAATATTACAAAATCCTCCATATTTCCACTGACTCACTACCCTTCTCAACTCAATCTCACTTAACATCTATTCAACCTTGTAAAAGTCAATTCCAGTGAACTTTTAAACTCCTTACCACAAATAACCTTTGGATTCCTAGAAAAGTCATTCATAAATTTTTTTTTTTCCTAGACATTTCGTGTGAACGTGATTAAAGAATTAAAAAGTCTAAGTTTAGGGACTGCTTATTGCCAATTTGTTCAGGTGTTTCTAATTCAGAAAAAAAACTTATCCAAAAAATTACTTTCAATAAATAATAAGTTTATAAATGATCATGACAAATCGTTTATTATTCACAAGAAACATTCCAGTTCCGTAAAGTCTACCTAAATGCCATTTGTGAATGTATGTATGAGCGTAAAAAGAGAATTCCAAAGTTGAATAAATTATTTGGCAATATTAAAGAGATCATTGAACTCGTATTATGAAGGATTTTTTATTATTATTGGTAATGGAATGTACGGTCATTAATACAGGAAATAATTGAGATTTTATTAATTCATGATTTATTTTTGATTGGTACCTTCATGTTAATTGGTTTAAGTTGATTCTATCGGCTCGATATGTTGAAGTTATGAAATGGTTGATGTTGAAAAATATTGAGACTTTTTTGGATATCAGATTTCTGGAAGTAGCACTACTTAATTGATTTAACAGGTTTTTCAATTTATTTCTAATCAGGTTAAGTGTCTGTGACTTGAATTTGGACACATATTGTCAAAAATACGAAAATTCTTTCTCGCCTTGTCTACAACTTCATCCATTCAACTCATATCCTCCTTAGAAACAATACATCTAATCCTAATAAACATCATTTTCTATTGATTCCAAAGTCACTCAATTAATAAACCCATAAAAAAGATCTACGCGTAGTCTTGATACCTATCAAAATGCCAAGCATCAAAGCTTACACACATGTCAATTCAATTAATATTAACGGGCACAAAAATATTAAATCTTTAAAGATTACAGCATTAAAACCAGATTTGCACGTGAGTAAATCTTTTGCTATTAAATGGTCATCAACACATTAATCGAATGCCATTATTCTGTTCTTATTATTATCTGTTCTTAATATTTTCAGCTGATTCGATTGAAATAGGCAAAGCCAATTAATACTTTTAATAGGTTATCGGCATTTTGTCATGCAAAATATCAAATGTTAATTTATTCCGAGATGAGAAGGCGAATTTGAATTGAAAGATGTTCCGTGTGGTTATTTAAACTTTGTATATTTTTTTTTTGTTTTGGTTTTAAGGAATGAAGTTTTGCTAAATAAGCTGGTTTTCTGGAATGGCATAATCAATGAATATTTTTGAATATTAGGAAGTCATCGATTATTCGGATGAAAGGAAAAAATAAAGCTGGGATTTTTTTGTGACATTTTTGAATTTCAGACAATTCTTTTATAGAATTAAAAATTTGCAGATAAAAACTAGTAAAAGAGCTAGTAAAAGAGCTAGTATTAAGCTAGTATGGACAAAGCAAGCAAAACAATCGAATCTATACAGCCAGTTATGAATTAAGCTGTAAACTTTCTAAATTTGAGCCTTTGAATGACTATCGAAAGTCATCACATGTGACTTAAAAATGAATGCAAAATGTTGAATCTTAAATCATCAAATGACAATAAAGGAAATTTTTTTATATGTCAAAAAATCAAGTTTATAAAAAACTTACTGATGATTGAGGACTGTATGTAAAGTTTTAGATGAGAAGGAGGTTCAAAACTTTGAGACTTATCAAAAATAAATTTTTTTCATGAAAAATTTGAAACAAAGCTAGACAATGACTTCTTGGACTTTATCCTTTTAAAATATCAATAAACTTATTTCACATGTTGCTTCCCAACTTGATTTACTAGAAAAACCTAGCTTTTAAAAGGGTAAACAAGACCATTTACCAAAAGATTTATCTTCTTTATTGGCTTATTAAGTCACATGCGAACATAATTTAAACTACTAATATTTTTGCGCATTTATAGTTTTGAACACGTGCATGAAGACATTTTATATTGTTTACAATACCAAATTAATCAATGGGAGAGGTGCAAAGCAAATTGATGACACATTCTGAATAGAAAAATGTCCAGCAAAAGCAACTGACCTTGAAGAAATCAAGTTTTTTTTGTGACCAAAGCCTCTTCGATATTGCTGAAAAATCCTAAAAAATGTGTTCAGTTTCATCGGAGCTGTTTGTGTGATAAGTTGAATTTATTTGCGGACATAAGACATTACACGATGGGATTTGTTTTACCGTTAATCGGGTTCATTGTATTATTTTTGATCATTTATGCACTGATCGATGCATATCCAAAAATTAAGTTGAATATCCCATCACCGCCATCGATACCAATTATCGGGCATTTGCATAAAGTTATTGGACTTGATACAGAACGTAAATTGGATTAAAGATTTAGTAAACTTAAATTGTGGATTAAATTTGAGAATTTTAATTTCAGAGCAACTAAAGCTAGCGCAGCAATACTCAAACAACACTGAAAGAATGATGAAATTCTGGTTCTTCAACGTGCTCGCCATCGCACCAAGCACACCAGAATTATTTCAGAAAATTTTATCATCCGAGGAGTGCATGGAGAAGCCATACATTGCATATAGACTTTTAACCCTCAATAATGGCCTTCTCGCATCACGATTTCATCGATGGCAACGGGATCGAAAGTTTTTCAACAATTCATTTAAAATGTCAACATTGCAGAGCTTTTTACCAATTTTCAATGAAGCTGCCGACCGAATTGTTGACGACATGCGAGATAATGTTAATTGCGAGGCATTTAATATATCGCCGTATATTTTTAAATGTACAATGAAGATGATTTGCTCGACGTCGCTTGGTATGCGAATTAATAAGGTTGAAAATGAAGAGGCTTTCGATAAGATTTATCATGCTGTCAACTAGTGAGTTTGGGGATTTTTCTAGAAATTTTGATTATTTTAAACAGTGTGTCCTCATTTTACAGTGTCATTGAGTCGATTGCATCTCTACAAAATAAACCAGTCGTATATCCAGAAACAATCTATCTTCTTACTCCACGTGCTTGGAAGCACATTGCATCAGCATGGTTTTTAAGGAATTTCCATTTCAAAATCATGAGTGAACGCCGTAAAGTGCTAGACAATCAAGATAATAATAACATACGCGACGAAGACAGTCCTTATTACGATATTTTCATTGACCAACTTCTTAAAAATAAAGGCTTATTCACGGACCGAGAAATTTGGGAGCATATTTTGACAATTTTAGCTGCCGGCTATGAAACATCAGCCACATGTCTATCACATTGTATGCTTTTTATTGCCATGTTTCAGGATGTCCAACAAAAAATGTTCGATGAAATCAATGAAGTCTTTCCAAACGGCGACGAAGAAATCACATTGGATCGTTTGGGTAAATTACAATATATGGAAAGAGTCATAAAGGAAACCTTACGACTTGCACCTGTCGGTCCAGTAATTTTCCGTGAGACAAGAAAGGAATTTGAAATTGAACCCGGTCTCGTTATACCGAAAGGTGTCGTCTTTATACTTCACATTTACTGTCTACATCGATCGAAAAAATATTGGGGTGAACGAGCTGAAGAATTCGATCCTGACAATTTTCTACCCGAACGAGTTGCACAACGACATCCTGCCACATTTATCCCGTTCTCATTTGGCAAGAGAAATTGTATTGGGACACGATACGCAATGTTATCGATGAAAACGATATTATTGAAATTTCTACAACGCTATAAAGTCACAACAAATCTGAAGTACAATGAATTGCGTTTCAAGTCAACATTGACCTTGCAATTAATTGGAAAGCATTTAGTTCAAATAACGGAGAGGAAACGCCATGAAGAATAAGAAGAAAAATGATTGTGATTTAGGATTATTATCGTCAACACGATTCTTGTTCTGATCGTTTTGTTAATTTATTTAAATTTAATGCGTGTGTTTGAAGAGTTGTGAGCAAGCGATGTACAAATGGAAGTTATTTTATGTGTTGGAGATTAAGATATTAAGTAAGATGAAAGTTTAGGTTAGGATAGGTCATTCAGTTAATGTGTTTTACAGTTTTTGGAAGAGTTATGGACCTGTCATCTTTATATCTCTGGAGCTATGTAATGAATGTTTTGGATTAGACTTAATTTGTAAAAATTCAATTCACTTTAAATAATAAAAGTTCTTATGTTTTGTCGGTTTTGTCAAAGTTATGATTTTTCTTACCATAGGAACAACTTATTATATATACCTGTAACTACCTTAACCTAGCAACAAATATAAATTCTTTTGAAAAAATTCTATTCGTCTTTTATGGGAAATAATTTGCATACAAATTTTTAATTTATTGATAAAAAATATGTTGTATATTAAATCGATTCATGATCTTCATCTGCCAGGTATTTCAAGATCAAAAACAGACCCACAAATCCCTGATCTTTAGAGAAAATTAATATGTATGAAATTAATGATTATAAATTTATAGAAATAAATTTGCAAATTTTAGAAAATGTCACTTGTTGTTGAAAATAACTTGATTTGCATTTTTTGAAGTTTGACATTTTGTGCAGGAAGTTAACGGTTTTGCAAGGTCGTAAATCTGCATTAATAAAATCTATAAAATTTTTGTTTCGCGTCATAGCGAAGTCAGGTATCTTTTGGACACAATTTTTCAAAATTATTGAGTCTAGAGTGCAACGATTTTAGGGTATTCCTGTAAAATTAGCTTCTGGGATATCGAGTTACTTTATCTAAACGAAGAACTAAGTTCGAGGAACCAAGGAACTAAGTTCGATTACGTTAAAATTAAAATTTCTCAAATCAAACCTTAAAAACTTTTTTTTATCACGACATGGACCCAAACTTTGTAGTCATGACATTTTAAGAAGTTTTTATTGTGTAAAGCTTGTTAAAATGTCAATATTATAATTTTTACAATACTCACTGTTGGATAGGTTGAAATGTCAAACCTTTTTGTCAACTTAATGCCATAAAAACTGCACAATTTGCCAGTCATAAGACGCATACGCAACTAAAATCCTACAATAAAGCAATAATAATTTCCGAATAAAAAATTCTTCTACAGACCCTCCTTCTTCATCATTCACCATAGGTGGCTTTCAGAACTGTTCACTTTATAGTTTAACATTTATGCCCAAATCGATAAAAATCTGAATCAAGGCAAAAAGCATATCAATTTACATCATTTAAAAATTTTTTAATAAAAGTCGCAGCACGTTTTTTAATGAATTTTCACTTCCGTTTTTTAAGCGACTGGCTGTAAATTTTCATCAATTTCATTGATATGCTAATGAAATGTGATCAATGAACTCGCCTGGCTTATCGAATACGATTCTTTCATGATATAAAATTCTATAGAATTTATTGCGTATTTGCTAAAGTTTTTGGCTATAAATTCGGAGATTATTGAGAAGTTTTAGAATAAATTTGAATTGAAATTGATCCAAGTTTTGTGGCTATAAAGTTGTTGTTATGTTGGATTAATGTTCAGTACGTCATTAAGCATGTTAAAGAAGTTTTATCCACGACTAGAGTTCAATAGGGACAGTCTAGTAGTAAAGTTTGATAAACTTAATTCAATTAGCACATGCTAATCAAATTTAAGCTTCTATGTCCTTAACTTTCTCGCACATTACAAGCTCCATTCATATTCATTATGTTTACTATAAAATTTAACCTCCAGTCACTTAGCATCGATCTCAAAATACATCCTCCTTTCGTGCATTCAAAAAATCATTAGATAATTTCGATAATCTGAGCAAAAATCTTCATTTCCTGTTGCATTATTGTCGACTGTTATGCATAAAAAATATTTACGGAAATTCAAAACTAATTAAAAAGTTCAAACAAATAAAAAAATTAAGTTTAATTGAAAATTATTTCGCATAGCTGTAGACCTTGAGCTATCAAACAAAACCCATTTAAGTGTCAAAGCTTATCTTTTGACATTAAAAACTTTTATTGACTTCATGGCTCAAAAAATTGAATTTTTTTTTTGGTCGAGCTTAAAACTTCGACATTTTACTGAACAGCAGTAGCAGCAGCATTAACCACAGCACTTCAGCATGAATTTCATTAAAGTTTGTGGTACGGCCCACGAATACTACGCATTTATACATCAATATCGATCGACTTTACATACATAAAGAATGTGAAGCAGAGCAAAGAATAAAAATTTATACATACAGAAAAGAGAATCGAACTGTGAGGCTGACTGAGACCTTGACAGCGGTCAAAAGTTCTTTGTAGCGTTTGTACTCGACTGACAAAATAAGAAATGGTAAGAAAAATATAACTAAAATGAATTGAGAAAAGCCGTGAGGAAGAGAGACAGAGATGGAGTCTTAAGTTTCTTAAAAAAAATTGAGTAAGAGAAAGGAGGCTGGAAAAGGGAATGGGAAAGAACATGGCTCAATGTTACGACGTAGTTACTCGAGCAACATTTATCTCGATTGTTTTGAGGGGCAAACATAAAAAAAGTGTATTTATGTATTGTATGTTATGCCATAACTACATTGTCTCTCTTTTTCTCTCTATGTCTTAAACTCTTGTGAAGCAGCACATATGAAATTGAAACTGAAAGCATTAAAAAATTGGATGGTAGTATTATTTGGAGACTAGTGTGGAGTTAGCTTGATGATTTTTTGGTGGATGTTGTGGTTCTGATACACAGGACGTATGTTAAGACAGTCTAGAATCAAATTGACCATTAACATCACATCAAAGTCTATCTTAGAAATCCATCCTTGAATTAGAATCCAAAATTCCACCTAAAGTAACCAAAATTTCATTCCATTACCTAAGAAAATGCCATCTTCACACCAATAATTAAACTGCATGGCACCATTTGGCCTTAGAATTGTTCTACAGATCATCGTCCGACGAGGAAAGAATCATAAACAATCTCTTTTTCATTTTGTAAATCCACAGCAATACTTAATGCCAGTATGAACACAGCACTAGAGATATGCTGGAGGGAATTACATACAAAGTTGTAGTATGCTGGCACAATTACTAGATATACATTTTCAGTCGTCTCTATTTTCTATCTATCTCCATTTTTATTCCTGCCAAGTTGCCACAATTAGTTTACTATAATACTTAATCGGATCAATGTCTCCCACATGGATACACACATGCAGCTTCAGTTCTGTTTATTTTGTCTCAATGATTTATTTCGATGCAGCAACAATCACAGCAAACCCCATGAAGAGTGAGCTCTTTAGAGATTTTAATACTTGAAAGAATAAAATTAGCCTAGGTCTTGTCACGATATCGATGAGAGAATTATTTTTTCATCTTTCATTTACTCAGCAGTGATCCATGACTGAACAGAATTTTCTTTATTCTTCGTAAGAAGTTTGAAGTTTTTTTAAAAGAAAAGTTTCGTCTTCACATGGACATAAATATGAGCAATAGAAATAAAAGCTGTAAGTCTCTAGTATCAAAGCCTTACTGTTTTCAACACCTACCTTAATTCCAAGAAAAATATCAAAAATACAAAAAAATTTCTAATAAACTTCATAAACAAATATCGAGGAAATTATTACAAATTCAATAAACATAGTCAGTATGTGTCGCTATGGGCTGCTTATATTTCCAGAATATCTAATTATGTTGATTAGTCTTAACTGTGTACGCACAGAAATTTATTAATAAACTTTCTTCTTGCCACTTTTTGAGAATTTTATTAGGCTTAATATTTCATAAAAAAAATTAAATTTAATGCTGAATGTCGAGGCTTTTACTGTTTTCACCTCTAAGGTTTATTGATGCTCAAATTTATTCACGATTTTTCATGTTCAGTGTCAAATTTGGTGGGATAATTTAATGGTTGATTTATGGGATATGTGTTAATGCACAATAAATCAGTATTTTTTGGAGAGTTACTTGATTATGTTCAATTAATAAGGAATGGCGTTTTGGTAATAAAATTTAATTTTGAATATTTGGGTGTCCTGGATTTGAAAAATTCGAAACCTCACCAAATCTAAGTTTGTAATTTCACTAATTTTGCATAAAATGCTTAATAATTAATTACAAAATCAATGACTCATCACAGACAAGTCAATATCCTGTCGACTCTAGGAAATTCTTTAAAAAGAAAATTCTATCCGCTCTATTTAAACAAGAAATTTCTTTATAAATGAAATATTTCCTCATTTTTCCTCAACGTCATTTCCTCACAGTTCCTTTCTTCAATCCCTCATTTGTTCGTCTTGATTGCTTCCTGGTTCTAACATTAACAGAAATGATTCACATTTTTTTTTTTGCATTATTGATGCACATCATTACATCAACAATCAATTTTCATTCGTAAAGCAACGACATAAATGGATGTAAAGCTTCATGGCAATAACATTTGTTCAATTTTCTCCTCATTTTTCTTCTTTAAAAGATTTTTTTATTTTTGTTCTCAGTAGAATCAAAGAATCAATCATTTAACGTGCTTCCAACTCTTTTTCTTATTTTCTTTCTATTCTAGTGCTAGAAAGGCCTCCGGCTCCACATCAATATTATTTCTCTTTTGTTCTTTCCATTTCACTCTCTTGGATCATCCATTGTAATGATTTTGGAAGGAATTTTTGTGAATTTTGTAAAAGTATTAAACTTTTAATTTTTAAAACTTTTGAAATATTGTGTCTGATTTTATTCGGAGAAGCTTTATGTCTCACAGCAGTGTTGCGATACATGCACCTGTCACAGGTGAGAACCGTACAATTTCTTGATAATTTATAAGGTTTTTCTTACAAAACCATATAAATTCTAATAAAACATCACAAATTATCAAGGAATTGTAAGGTTCTGCCTGTATCGCAACCCTGTCTCGCAGAACATTTCTA